TATCTCAAAGGACCGAAGAGAGAAGCAACTGAGCAGGATATCGTCCAAATTGACGAAACAATAACGACTCTGGTCTGTTAACGTTTTCAAGCTGATAAAATATACATTTTAAAAAATCAAACCTGATTCTATCGTCCCAGGCATCCACCACATGGAAAACACTCACCGCGACGCGGGTGAGCGGATTCATGAGTTTGGTGTATTTGCAACTCATTCAAATTACGGAAGAGTCTGCAAACTCATTTTAACCATCCAAAAGTTCCTTATCGGTACCTAGGTTAAAATCATTTACGTCGGACAAAGCCTCACGTGACAGCTCACACAAGGGTGCTTCAGCCACGCTCTTGTGTTGGATGCCCCACTGCTTTGCGGGTCAAACAATTAAAGCAAAGGCTCCGGGGTTTAAACACCGCTGTCTACGCAGCATTGCACGAATCTGGTGGGGCAGCCGAACGAGCAATGCTGAGGTTAGGCGTAGGGTTGTAGGCAACCGCGGTCACCCACGGGGGCAAGTGGTCGACTTTCAGTGATAACGTTGGCGTGTTACCCATGTCACCCAATAGGTTGCCACGGCGAGCGATGTTTGCCGAGGCAGGTAGTGGGTGGAATAAAGACTAGGGTGGCCAAGCTAAGACCTGGCATGAGGGTATGAACACCCTAACCAGGAGTCTGGGTCACATAGGTCCCGTTAGGTTCCCTGGATGGGGACCTCGGGATGGTCGTATCCGATGGTTAGAGACACTGAGTGATATGGCTGGGTGTCGTAAACAGTGGCGTTCTCAATTTCTTTGCAACATTAGTCCAATGAAATTATCCATTTTCTCTTCGATCCCAATTTCAACCTTTCCTGTCTTTCTTCTAATATTCATCCAAATGGGTAGCCGAAAGATAGCAACCAAAACTGGCGCACGATAGTGCATGGTTAATGGTTGTACAAACTGAAACTGAACTGACCTGGGTCTTGTCCAAACCCATGCAACACGTGCGACACGCTTTTGCTTTGCTACTGCTTTTATTTGCTTGCGTTGTTTAGTTGTCACATCGGCACCTATTCGGTACTTTCTACTACCACGATACACCAATAAATGTCTACGATCACCACGAGAGATTTTTTCTACCCTGGGCAAAGAGACACTAGGTGGTCTCGAGCTTTACTTCAGATCCGTAAGAATACTTGTCGGCAGACCATCAACGTCGATTAGCTTCACATGTAACCCATTCGAGAACTGTCAAGGTTCCTAGACATTTTGAACTTCTCTATCAGATCTCTTCCAGAGAGAAAACACTTATTACCAAGAGCGTATCGCTGTAACCCAGGTGCTTCAATCCCCGAACCATTCTGGTAGTAAGCTTTTGACTTGCTCCAGTTTACGGATATCTTTCCAGATGAATGGGGCCCACGTAGGCCCCCAAGCGTGCGCTTGAAGACAGTATTCGAGTAGCGGTCGGAAGAAGACTGCGTACAACGGAATGAATGACTCGATGATTCTGTTCATTATAGCGATTTTAAGACAGAAGAATGCTTGGCGGACATTTACGGATGCTGCGCCGCATGATGCAGATGGGGTGAACTTGCAGGCCATTTTGCCCCTGGGTCATCGTGTTCTTCGGAATCCAAGGAGTGTTTATTAGGTAGAGTGATGTACTAACAACATCTGAAAGCATGTGGATTATCAGTGCGCTGAGCGGCAGACCCATTTGGCTGACCAATCACACTTTGTGGACGTCGACTTGGATGGTGTCTAGATGGCTGATATTTTCCACCAACTTGACGTCGTCTACATACACAAAACAGGGTTTCTAAGGTCTTCGGTGATGTCATTTAGGAAGATGAGAAAGAACAGAGGCGAAAGTATACAACCTTGGAACACTCCGCTGTTAGGGGAATCAGTGATCGCAATAAGGGACACTATACCAATCGACCCGGAGATTCGGTCATATAGGTCCCGTTAGGCTCCCTGAATGGGGACATCCGGATGATCATGACCGAGTGTCGTAAACAGTGATGATCGTGCATCTTCTCAATTTCTTTGCAACATTAGTCCACTGAAATTCTCCATTTTCTTTCTGACTCTACTTTAAACTTTCCTTTCTCCTATTCGTTCAATCAAATGGGCAACCGAAACCGGCGCACGAAAGTGCATGGTTCATTGCTGTGTAAAATGAACGGGACTTGACGAATTTCAATGTGATTTATCGAATTAGTTTACAATTGGTCGGGTAGGAAATTCGCTAACCGAAATTAATCAAAAAAACTGGAAAACTCCTCCACATTCCAGTCGGCTACATCTACGTTATGCACCAACACAACCGTTGTAGTACAACACTCGTTCAGCATGTTACGCAGGCATTGAGAAGCAACAGCGGAACAAACGCGACCAAAAGTGATGGCATATAAACATTGAAAAACATTATTGAATGTGCACTCATCAAATAATAAATATAGGTAATTTTATATGCGATAGAAATGTTTGTGATGACCTAAAAAGAGCACTGGAGAGCGGTTTCGGATTCGTCAGCAGTGCGCACTTTTTATGTCCCTGTTGCGACTCGAACCGCGAACGTCCGGGTTACTTCTTCAAGCCCTTACCACTGAGCTACACGGTCGACGGTCATCACCTTGTGCGAATGGCTACTCCAAGCTTGCTACTTTAGAAATAAGTAGTTTTCTATTTATCCCGTCTATAGGTTCGTTGTGCGAAGAATACTTCGAATACCTAATCATTGTCCGGATTCAGGTGATAACAAACAACGTCAGAAAAAGTATGAGTTNTAAAGTCACCAAGATATTATAGTAGAATGGAGACGAATTTGGTGAAATAAAATGATGTGAAGCGGAACTGAAAAAGATTATCATCCGGAGTAGGTGATCTCCGGAAGCTTATCGCTTATCTCTGTTGACTATGCAAATAACAATACTGAAAGAATTTTGTGTGATACATACTCTTAATGAAAGTGAATTGTGTGATGGACCACAGAGGAGATAAACCTCATGGTAAGCACCTAGTGTACACGTATGATGAACGGCAA